TATGTGTGAAGATTTCTTACCTGATTTCTCCTTCTGGGGTACAATTACACTGGGGGGGTCCTGATGATCTTATGATTATAAGCCTTAATCTTTAGCTTACATATGCATACTTTACGACCTTAAAATTACACAATTCTTGGGGGTTTTTTGTTCCTTTGGTCAAATTTTACAGTATAATTGATGTTCTTGATTGGTGTATATAATAATTTTGTGATAGATTTCTATGTATATTTTATCTATAATTTAAAAAGCATCATTTACAATGCTTTGATAGTACATTCATGAATATAAACAACAAACACGTCAAAACCCCTAACTAATTACATCAAATATGTTTTCAGGGAGTTGTGTTGGCCACTTAAGATATTTGCAAATATAAAGTAGTAAATGGATGGTGTTGTAATTATAGGTTTGATGCTGTGGTACACTTTGTTGGGCTGAAAGCTGTGGGTGAAAGCGTGTCCCATCCATTCCGTTACTTTGATAATAATTTGATCGGGTCCATCACTATGTACAAAGTCATGGCCAAATACAATTGTAAGAAGGTATGTACCCTGTCTTGTCTTTCACACTGATCTTGGATTCAAGATATATTCACCTAATTTTAAATGTTGGCAGTTGGTATTCTCTTCATCTGCAACTGTTTATGGACAGCCGAAGAAAATTCCATGTGTTGAGAACTTTGAACTCAAGGCAATGAACCCATGAGAGTGGGAAACTTGGTGAAGATCCGATTGGGATCCCAAATAATCTGATGCCTTACATACAACAAGTAGCTGTTGGAAGATTACCAGAGTTGAATGTTTATGGTCATGATTATCCCACAAAGGATGGCAGTGTTGTATGTATCTATTTATCGTTGTTAATTGTTAATTGCTATAGCTTACTACTTCCATTCCATTGATTTTTCTTAATCTTTACAGATCCGGGATTACATCCATGTGATGGATTTGGCTGATGGCCATGTTGCAACACTTAAAAAGCTTTTCACAAAACAGGATATATGTGAGAGAAAACAGTCACTAGTTATATTTCATTTATTGTTTTGCTGACGTGGATTGTTGTTTAGGTTGTTTTGCCTGCAACCTGGGGACCGGTAGGGGGACCTCTGTGCTTGAAATGGTGACTGCGTTTGAGAAAGCATCTGGAAAGGTTGTTCCGGTTTTTATATATAAATACATTTGTACATGTCTAGGAAGGAATATTAATTTGTACAATTATTATGAAATCACATTTTTAGAAAATCCCCATTAAACCGTGTCCAAGAAGGGCTGGAGATGTTACAGAAGTTTATGCGTCGACTGATAAAGCTGCAAAAGAGCTTAATTGGAAGTAATTTCTTTTCTCTAAATTGTGCCACATTGCATACATGAAAGTGATAGAATCAGATAATTGCTTAAGAGATTGAGAATGTGTTTGTTTTTTTTATACTATTACAGGTGACACACGGTACTTCTAGGACCGAACAACCAGTATCTCCCTAAAATTGTTTCTGTATTTGCTGAGGTTAGTTGTTTTGTTTTTTTTTGGAAAGTTAATAGAGGGCAAAGTTGTCATTTCAGATGCTTACTAATGTTGATTTTTTTTGGAAGGAATGAAATCTATGATTGGAGTTGAACTCCAGGGGAATTGGAATCTGAAGAAATTGTATTTTGTCATGTCTTTGGTTTGGCAAGAAATGGAATAGAATTCATAAAAGTCTCAATTGACTTTAAATGGAATGGAATTCAATAATTAAAAACTGAATAATTTTCAGGAAATGGAATAGAATCCATCAAAGGTACTTAGACACTCAGCTCTTTTTTTTCTAGGGACAAAGTCGTCTTATTTATACTTTTCCTTTCCATGTAGGCTGTTGCAAGAGTCTGGAGAGATGGGCAGAAGAAAAGAGTATACATCTATAGGTTTTTTAGCACTGGAACTATTGAAGAAAAGGTAACAGATAAATTACAAATATTTCTACTGTTTTTGCTTTTTATATTATCAGTTTAGTTAAGCAAAGGGAAAAATTTATTCAACAAACACCAGCTAAGTAACATTCAGGTATTTCAGTATTTGTTACTTCTTTTTGAACATATGCAAATGCTTCTTGATGAATAATAATAAATATCACACCTCATGAATTCAGTGGACAAATCTCTCTACTGGGGATCTACGGGATCTATTTACATTTCATGAGAATGCAAGGCAAGTTTACTTTTTATAAACTGTATTCTTCATGCATTGGAGGTGTGTGTGGCATTTGATTCAGGTAAAGATATATAAAAAATATATAGTCGGCTTATATTTTAACAAGACATTAACAATAATGGTAATATTGGTTTTATAATGTTGTCATAGAATGATTTGGTGCACGGACGGGGTTTGGATTTTGCACTTCGACGATGTGTAAAGGTCAGTCAATCAATTATATTTTCTTCTGACTTCTAAAATTAACTTCAAATTAAAATCTCAAAAAAAAATTGTTTTAATGTGACTGCCTACACACGAGAAAATCGGGGTAGTTGATTCACAGTCGATCATTCATCAAGTGGTCCCCTCACTCGGGAGCCAGGTGAGACCAACCCCACCCCATGTTATATTAAAATGAAAATAGAATGGTATAATTAAGAGTAGAATGTTGTTGATTCAGGGTAAGTCTGAGAATGGTGAGGCTCCATGGAAGGGGGTAAGAGATAGATGCAGAAGTGAGTGGGCATTGTTCCAAGATTGACTTACAAATGCAGATAAAGCTTACTTCAAACAGATTTAATGTCTCATAATAGAAATAAAATACCATATACTTTACGGGCTAACACATAAAGGCAATGCACTTTGCATCAAAATTCCAACGACAACACTACAGATACAGCTAAAGTGATAACTACAACAATTTAAATTGAATAAAAAAAATAGCAACATTGAGTTTCAAGAAAAAAAACCAATGACGTACGTATGTGTGTGTGTATTTTAGTCCCTTCCAATCTGTTTGAAGTAAGCTTTATCTGCATTTGCAAGTCGATCTTGGAACAATGCCCACTCACTTCTGCATCTATCTCTTACCCCCTTCCATGGAGCTTCACCATTCTCAGACTTACCCTGAATCAACAACATTCTACTTTTAATTATACCATTCTATTTTCATTTTAATATAACATGGGGTGGGGTTGGTCTCACCTGGCTCCCGAGTGAGGGGACCACTTGATGAATGATCGACTGTGAATCAACTACCCCGATTTTCTCGTGTGTAGGCAGTCACATCAAAACAAATTTTTTTTGAGATTTTAATTTGAAGTTAATTTTAGAAGTCAAAAGAAAATATAATTGATTGACTAACCTTTACACATCGTCGAAGTGCAAAATCCAAACCCCGTCCGTGCACCAAATCATTCTATAACAACATTATAAAACCAATATTACCATTATTGTTAATGTCTTGTTAAAATATAAGCCGGATATATATTTTTTATATATCTTTACCTGAATCAAATGCCACACACACCTCCAATGCATGAAGAATACAGTTTATAAAAAGTAAACTTGCCTTGCATTCTCATGAAATGTAAATAGATCCCGTAGATCCCCAGTAGAGAGATTTGTCCACTGAATTCATGAGGTGTGATATTTATTATTATTCATCAAGAAGCATTTGTATATGTTCAAAAAGAAGTAACAAATACTGAAATACCTGAATGTTACTTAGCTGGTGTTTTTTGAATAAATTTTTCCCTTTGCTTAACTAAACTGATAATATAAAAAGCAAAAACAGTAGAAATATTTGTAATTTATCCGTTACCTTTTCTTCAATAGTTCCAGTGCTAAAAAACCTATAGATGTATACTCTCTTCTTCTGCCCATCTCTCCAGACTCTTGCAACAGCCTACATGGAAAGGAAAAGTATAAAAAATACGACTTTGTCCCTAGAAAAAAAAGAGTTGAGTGTCTAAGTACCTTTGATGGATTCTATTCCATTTCCTGAAAAATTATTCAGTTTTTAATTATTGAATTCCATTCCATTTAAAGTCAATTGAGACTTTTATGAATTCTATTCCATTTCTTGCCAAACCAAAGACATGACAAAATACAATTTCTTCAGATTCCAATTCCCCTGGAGTTCAACTCCAATCATAGATTTCATTCCTTCCAAAAAAATCAACATTAGTAAGCATCTGAAATGACAACTTTGCCCTCTATTAACTTTCCAAAAAAAACAAAACAACTAACCTCAGCAAATACAGAAACAATTTTAGGGAGATACTGGTTGTTCGGTCCTAGAAGTACCCTGTGTCACCTGTAATAGTATAAAAAAAACAAACACATTCTCAATCTCTTAAGCAATTATCTGATTCTATCACTTTCATTTATGCAATGTGGCACAATTTAGAGAAAAGAAATTACTTCCAATTAAGCTCTTTTGCAACTTTATCAGTCGACGCATAAACTTCTGTAGCATCTCCAGCCCTTCTTGGACACGGTTTAATGGGGATTTTCTAAAAATGTGATTTCATAATAATTGTACAAATTAATATTCCTTCCTAGTCATGTACAAATGTATTTATATATAAAAACCGGAACAACCTTTCCAGATGCTTTCTCAAACGCAGTCACCATTTCAAGCACAGAGGTCCCCCTACCGGTCCCCAGGTTGCAGGCAAAACAACCTAAACAACAATCCACGTCAGCAAAACAATAAATGAAATATAACTAGTGACTTTTTCTCTCACCTATATCCTGTTTTGTGAAAAGCTTTTTAAGTGCTGCAACATGGCCATCAGCCAAATCCATCACATGGATGTAATCCCAGATCTGTAAAGATTAAGAAAAATCAATGGAATGGAAGTAGTAAGCTATAGCAATTAACAATTACCAACGATAAATAGATACATACAGCACTGCCATCCTTTGTGGGGTAATCATGACCATAAACATTCAACTCTGGTAATCTTCCAATAGCTACTTGTTGTATGTAAGGCATCAGATTATTTGGGATCCCAATCGGATCTTCACCAAGTTTCCCACTCTCATGGGTTCATTGCCTTGAGTTCAAAGTCCTCAACACATGGAATTTTCTTCGGCTGTCCATAAACAGTTGCAGATGAAGAGAATACCAACTGCCAACATTTAAAATTAGGTAAATATATCTTGAATCCAAGATCAGTGTGAAAGACAAGACAGGGTACATACCTTCTTACAATTGTATTTGGCCATGACTTTGTACATAGTGATGGACCCGATCAAATTATTATCAAAGTAACGGAATGGATGGGACACGCTTTCACCCACAGCTTTCAGCCCAACAAAGTGTACCACAACATCAAACCTATAATTACAACACAATCCGTTTACTACTCTATATTTGCAAATATCTTAAGTGGCCAACACAACTCCCTGAAAACATATTTGATGTAATTAGTTAGGGGTTTTGACGTGTTTGTTGTTTATATTCATGAATGTACTATCAAAGCATTGTAAATGATGCTTTTTAAATTATAGATAAAATATGCATAGAATCTATCACAAAATTATTATATACACCAATCAAGAACATCAATTATACTGTAAAATTTGACCAAAGGAACAAAAAACCCCAAGAATTGTGTAATTTAAAGGTCGTAAAGTATGCATATGTAAGCTAAAGATTAAGGCTTATAATCATAAGATCATCAGGACCCCCCAGTGTAATTGTACCCCAGAAGGAGAAATCATGTAAGAAATCTTCACACATAGACAAAAACAGAAAAACCTTACACTGGGTAATCGATGTAATTGCAACCGATAAGCATACCTCGAAGTCGAATATCGTGTTCCACTGGGAGACTGGCTAACACCGAAATAATTGAAGAGGAGCACTGTAAAACCAAAAAGCTTTGATCGATTGGGGCATAAACACGATCATATTGGGGAACTCTGAATTTAACATGAAGGCAGGCCATCACTCCAGCACGGAAGAAAATGGCAGCTGATTTGGATCTTCAAATCCAAGGAAAGTAGATCAGGGCCGCAATCAATTTTTCTTTTATCTTTTTTCTTTTTCACAAAACGTATGGCAGCTACTTCGCAGCTAAAAACGTCGGTTAATAATTAAAGCTAACCAACCCAAAAAAAAAGTAGAAGTAGGGTTTTATCAACATCCGAGTAGATTACAATAATTACATTCTATAAATCAAGCAGAAATTGGGGGCTTATAAGGAAAAAGAAACTCCTCAATTGAGTTGTAACACTCGAGTAGCTGTGAAACCTCTTAATCCGAACAAAATTACGTTAATTACACAATAGTATCTCAGGTAGGTGTTTGAAACCATTAGACAAGATATCGTCGGCCCGCTTTCGGTGACTGTACAACCCATCAATAGCAGAACTAAATAAAATCAACAGAAATTATAGGATTGGTGATGATATTAGGGTTTTTTTGGGTATTAGAGAGAGAGAGAGAGAGAGAGAGAGAGAGAGAGAGAGAGAGAGATAGAGATAGAAAAGAACGATGGAAATAAGGTAGAGGATAACAATGGCGGCCTTTCAAACTTTTGGGATTTTCGTTTCCCCCCAGCTCCAAAAGAAGAGAACGTGCCTTTCATTAAAAAAATATAAAGCGACATTTCTAGACGACACCCATTTTTAAATAAGTGTCCTCCGTGTTTTTAATTTTTTTTGTTGGACATTAATTTTAGGGCACACACAAAAACGTGTCCTCTATCCTTCAAATTTTAGAAGAGATGACATTACTTTTAGGGCACACGCTTTTGCGTATCGTAAATCATCGTGTGTCATTGTTTGCGCGTCATTAAAGGGCTGTTTTCTAGTAGTGATTGAAGGCCCTATCTTGAGTTAGGTATGAGCTTGGATTTTTCGAAGACCACAAAATGTAGTTTATGCTTGAATCTTGTTTTGATATGTTGATTGTTAACAACCTCACTGGTATTCACAATTAATTAAAGTTTACTATTTCGTGACCAGTAGATTTTATGCACAAATAAACTATGGAACTTTTGGGAAACTTAAATTTTTGTTTTAAGTATGATTTCTCACAGGCTCTAGCGAGAAGTGTTACATTATGAAAGTTTGAAAAAAGACAACATCTATTTATAATGGAAAACCCTCCACCACTTTCTTCTTGGAGTCGATGTGGGACTCCTTCTTGCCATAAATATGTTACACCTTCTATTGCCTATAGTCTATACTTCTTTTTTCCTTCCTTCTTTTTTCCGACACTATATGATAGGTTTTTCAAAAATTTTAAAGTGGGTCGAAAAATTTTTGAGTATATAATTCGTAGTAAATTTTAAAGTTTTAGGTGGGTAAAGGACCTACCTTGCCATACATTAAACTCGTTCATGGACATAAACTCTTGTAATATGAACATTTTTTAAATCGATTCAACTTAGATAGTTTGATAAGATTTCGATGTGTTTGAACTCTAGTTTTATGTTTTCTTACAAGATGGGTTCACATACACAAACTAACATACAAATGCATGCAAATTAACAAGCAAAACTCTAGCTCAAAGAGCTTCAAAAGAAGCTTTATTCCCATTCATCATGCCATTATTAAATTACATACACGCAAAATAACATACAGATTATACATACTTAATACTTATGGGATACTATATCATGTATAATATTGAATCTGGAAAGGTTCATAGTATGTTTTATTCTAAGTTTCGTGACATACAATATATGTTTTGTCTAATGCATGGCCACAAGGAGACAAGTACCAACGACAACATGTATCACGATCCATGCTCCTGCTCATATGCCATAAATAGTAACAGGCGTCAGTAAAAGCTTAAACTGTGATTTGAAAAGAAAGAATATAGCACTAAGTAAAATTTATAGAACCATAGAACCACATAAAAATAACTATATCCATTTATGAAATTTTTTGTGTTCATAACTGAACATATATATGTTTATGAACATTGGACATAAATTATGTCGTTTTATTGTTTTATGAGTTATTTTGGTTTTATGTTAAACCTACTTCCTGTGAATTTAAATTCATTAGAATGTGTAGATATATGCATAAATTCTCTTATATAATTAAAATTACTTATAGGATTTTTTTCAATATCCATGATAAAAGAAAATAAATGCATGATATTCGTATATTGTGGTTACAAGCATTTAAGGTTATATCTTGAAATAAAAGATTGCAAAAAAAATATCAATACATAGGGCCCAATATATGTGGAACTAGCGGGATGGCTCGCGCATTGCAGTAGATTTATTAATCTCCGACACTATTTTTATAATGACCTCTTATATAAGGCCTATATTTTGTAATTTTTGTGAAACATGGAGACCATGGCCATAAATTCTCTATTAGCCATGAACTATTTGAATAGTTTTGTAAAACATAAGGACAAGTTCTTTATTGTTATGAAATAGAAAGGAAATTTATGTAAATGCACTATTATATAGGACTGTTTCTATAACTTTCGTGAAAGACAGGGACCCTTTCTGCAAATTGTTGATTAGGCAGGCACTATTTCTGTAAATTTATGAAAGAGATGACCATTAATTTTTTTTATTAAACACTAGGTGTGAAACCCATATATTACATGAGTTTATTTAAAAAAAATTAAATATAAAATTTTAACAATTTGAAAAGTTTGAATTTATAAGAAAAATGAGAAATCTTTTGAATTATTAAAATTAATGAGCCTTTAATGTATTGAATACATTACATATATAAACTCTTTCTCATAAATAACTTACATATATATTACCTTACATATTAAATGTGGAATTTTAATTTAATAAAATAAAAAATACAATAAAAATAACAAATGGAAAATAAAAAATTTAAAAATGTTAGAAAATGTCATGTGTCCAAATAAAGGAGAAGAGGACATCTGGAAAAAAAAAAACTTCCATTTATTATAGTAGATGGACATTTTGCGCTCTCTCTCTCTGCATGTAAAATAGTGATATTTGATAGATAATGCGCATAACAATGTGGGCGACTTTTCTGTTGATTTTTTTGTCAGGTCTCTTGTTAAAAAAAAACAAAAATATAATAAATCTATCAGTTAACTATTTTCATGTTTTAGATTGGTAATGAAAGTTTTTTCATATACAATATATAGATATATGTGTCCCTAAACAATAATTTGGCGTCACTGAAGTCGGGTTTTTGTGTTCCAATATGACAAAGATACCTTTTTTTACTCATAAGGTCTCTTAATAAATAAATAAATAAATAAATAAATTTATGTTTTTTATTTATTTCATCACAATGTATTTCTATCCCTTATCTAGATGTACAAATTAAATGGTGTAAAAATAATTACTTTTATGTATTCCAATATATATTAGCAACAACTAAAAAGTCATTACTGAATAGTGGCATACCAATTATAATATGGTTACCAGTAAAATCGTGTAAAAATAACTTTTTTCACAAAGTATTTCAGTACATTTACATATTTTTAATTACATCATTTTATGTCACCATTTTATTTGTAACTCTAGTTCAGCATTAATAAATTGAAATACATTATGATACAACATTTTAATTTTATGTGTTAGTCATAATGTACAGGTTACATGTTTAATACTCGTTTTTTGAATTTTTAATTCTTTAATAAATTATATAAATGTGAAACTTGGTTAATTAACAAAATATATAATTTCAAATAAGAATAAAATTACAAAATGTATTTTAACCCACTACCAAATATAGTAAACATATTGTTGTGTTAATTATCTCTATATTATAAACTGTAATACAGATATTATAGAATTTGAAATATAGATCATAAAATACTATAATTTAATTACTATTGATAATAAATAAAAATATATTAGTAACTATGCCCAAAAATTGTATAAAAGCATAAGAAAATAATATTTTCTTTTCCAGAGTCATAATGTGTAAAAAACAAAATTAATTAGTAACCAGAGAAAAAAAAATCTACTTAATTCCTTACTCCTTAATAATAACGATGTACCAAAAGAATGGAAAAACAAAATTTTAGGAACCCAAAATGTACAACAAAAACTTTCATGACCAATCTAGATAAATTAGAATAACTAGTAGGTAGATTTCAATATTTTCCCTTCTTTTCAATTTTGCACCACATACAAAACATAGATGCATTGGTTCAATCAACTTGTTAGTTAGATAATTACAATTTTCTTTAGTTTATTAAGGGTTTTTTTTTTTCTAATTTGCATTATCTGTGGAATTTGATGATTGCAAGAAGGACATGACAGACATTATACAAAGAAATCTTGCTATTTGGATATGATGTACAATTTGTATATTATATAGCCCACTAAAATATAAATTGTTATCTGTATTTGTGTGTTGATCTAAACCCTAACTAATTGCACCCATTAAGATAATCAAAAGCATATCATATACCTGGTTTTCAAGATTGGAAAACTACCAATCCCCGGGACGTGGAACACGTTGCCATCCTGCAAACCACTCGAGAGCCTTTTTAAGCTCCATTGTTGCAGGTTCAACTGTGCATGTTTGGTAGTATTGGCTTGGGCGGAATGAGCAATTCCCAGGTTTCAAGCCAGACTGAGTTCCACCTAAAAATAGGTCTCCCTCAGATACAATGGTGCCAGCAGTTGGCGCATTTTTGTCACCAGCCTACATAATTTACAACATAAGTCCCTATGGATATGCATGGTTAATTATGGTTTTTACTTCTATTTATTACCTTTTCAGGGATATATTTAAAAGCCACATTGCAATCGCGACCGGCTTCATAAATATTACACTGTGAGTATATCTGCATGAAGAAGAATAAAAAGTTATTATATATATTATTTCCAATCTAATTAACACAAACAAGGATCTCTAAAAGTTGTGTTAGCAATTTAATTAACCTCTGAATCAACACTGGCACCCACAGCATAGATCGCCCAATATCTGGTGTAATTGTTGTACAGATGTACTTTGGCAAACCTAACACGTGGAAGCCTCTGACGACTTCCATCAAAGAGACAGTGGTGAATAGTAACACGGATATTTCTGTCATCACAATGAGCAGCGTTTGCTCCAATAAGAATCGTCTTGTCATGGTACCCAAATTTACAACTGCATGCATGCATGAACAAAATTAACAAAATTACAACGTACGTTGGTGAAATACAAACAAATATACTAAAGAGTAATTAATTAAGTAGCTGATTAATTACCGTGAAATAGTAACGTCTGTGCTTCCTCGAGTAACATCAACAAGCCCATCTGAATAATCCTTAAGACTACAGCGATCAATCCATATATGCTTTGAGTTTGGTTTGATTTGAATGGCGTCGACATCATGTCCTCTGCCTTCTTGAAACTCTAAATTGCATATAATCACATGTTCACATTGGGCCAGTCTAAGGCCCATGCCAGTGATCCTAATCCATTGTCCTCGACCATCGATTGTTTTATATGAAGACACGGGTAGAAAAGATTTCAGCTTGATTTCACCCGAAATTTCGAAAACAATCCACAGAGGTTCTTTCTTGCTACATGCTTCACGAAGTGATCCAGGACCATCATCTACAACAAATCAGAAGCCTTTATATATACATTTATTTCATCAATACATGATCTAAACTGTGTTAGTTGTATGCTCAATTTGGTTAAGCTACTTAATTTTCATCGCAAGAAAATATTTCACGTACATAAGCACATAAAAGGCAACTTATGATCTCCTTCCAAAACTTTCAGGAATCATCCAAAATAACCACATATTCACAATTCCATAACTTAAATTATGTCAAAGCGAACCAATAAGGACAATAACAGTAGTAAATATGGGTTAATTTCCATGTCAAATCAATGGTCATCATCAATATGAAAAGAGAATGATACTGATTATGCATGTGTACGTCTGATGAGTAATCAAGAAAGTAAATATATTTATATACACCTGCCAGAGTAGTAACACAGTAGAGTGCTCCATGAAGACCACCGGTAGCAAGGCGGCCGAATCCCTCAGCCTGGCCGGCGAGAGCTCGTAACTTACTCTCGCAGTGAGCGTAGGGGAGTGAGACTGGAGCCATTTCTCTAGGCGCCTCGATCGTTGACTTTGGTTGGATATGAGGCACGTTTCTATGGTGAAAGGCCGTACCTGTAGTCGCTATTTATACGGTTTCGCTTGTGGTGGAGGACGGGGGACACTGGGAAAATGCTTCCCCATTAATGGCCGTATGTTTTAACACTAAAAACGTTTAATTTTTACGCACCGGGATTCGCACACTTAAAACGGTAATTTCGATAGATACTATTTCCACATTGGTGTCACAAAAATAAAATAAAGAAAAAATGATAATCAAATTGTTCTAGTTTATAATTTTTCATCAAAATTTCAAAAATTCATGAAAAATCTCAATTTTGTAAGTTTCTTTTATCTTAATACATAGTTGGTTGTACCAAAGGGCTTCTGCCCTGCGGTATCCGGTGTTGCCCTCCCTCCTTGAGGTTGAGGGTTCAAGTCTCGTCGTGGACATATGTGGATTTTAAGGTGTAGTTTAGGAGTAGATTAGATTTGCCGTTTCAAAAAAAAAACATAGTTGGTTGTTCTTTTCATTTGATTATAAAAAAAAAAAGAAATCAATTTTTGTCTAAATTACTTGTAGAAAAAAAAATTCATGGTGAAGTTTTTATTGGTGGCTTTTAAATTTTGTACGTTGGCAAAATTGAAAATTAGGATAAAGTGTAAGCAAAGTACGTGTCACGCAAGAAAGTAAAACAAATTGATAAAACGACATTGAGATTTAGCATAGTCCTATCGATGTGACATACATCCACGGAAAAAGAACCAGAGAACCGAAGAACTAATCCTCGATTGTTACAAAGCAATTACAATGGAATCTTTAACTAGGAATACCTATAATCATAAAACCTAGCAACAACACGGTCGAACCTCTATACAAGTAAATCCAGAAAAACTAAACGACTTCGGGCATATCGTCCATCAACCTACTCCAAAAACTTATATCTTCGAAAGTCATTTAGGTTTTCTTATTTTGTTCGAGTCGGGTTATTTATTTAGTTCACCAAAATTTCAAATCATATATTAACAATCTCCACTTTGACTTAAATTGTCCTCAACCATTAATGCTTGAACTTCTTTGTGGCACGAATTTATCAACACTCAGTCAGGTTCTCCCTAGTATCTATCTTTTGAATAGAGAACATTCATTCTTCCAAAATATCATAGATGAAATCCAGGCTTACGTCAATATATTTTGTCTTTTCATGATAGACTGAATTCTTTGCAAGACAAAGCACTCTAGTTGTCACAAAATAAGATGGATTTATCCACCTTCAACCCAAGACTGTGAACGAGACCATGTAACCATATGTATTCCTTTATTCCTTTTTCATTAACATGTATTTTGTTTCAGTTGTAGACAAGGCAAATGTAGGTTGTAATGTTGACTTCCAACTTATAGCATATGTAACATCCTGTTTCGGATCGTCTGTGATTTAGGGTTCGTGGGCTGCAACCCGGGCATGAGGAAGCCTTGAGGCTGAGACGAGTTACTAGAAGCGTAGGGCTTCTCGCCACCTTTCCGGAGATATGAGGTTCGTTGGAAACAGACTTATAACGAAGAAGCTATGATAGTTTCATGTTCTGGCAAGTTTAGTCCTTATTGAGAAATGGGTGGAAAGTGAGTACGCAGGGCGTAAGTATGTGTACGCTCAGCGTACTTATGTGCGTAGCATGGATGCAGAGACCACCTAGTACGCTGGGTGTACTAGGCAGAGAATGTAAACCTTAATATTTTGAGGTGACCCTATTTAAGGAACATGATGGCCTCATTTTCAGCCACCATTTCCAGTCTCCAACTCCTCTCAAAACCCTAATCTCGTTTCCATGGCTTGTGTGAGTGTGGTGGCTCATTTGATTGTTTTTGGTGAAGCTAATGGTGAAGAAAGAGTCTTGAAAGAGGATAGCTTCTGCTTCTAGCTTGTGGATCTGATTTCTACCCTTGTTAGTGCATCTTCCAGAGGTATAAAGTTCGAAACTTGCTCATTGTTGTGCTAGTTCTTATTTTGGGTCCATTTTTAGGGTTTTATGTCCCAAGATTGGAACTTTGTGAGTTTGGTGAACTCCAGAGCAAATCTCCTGTCCTTTTTAGTGTATTGGGTTGCCTTGATTCATACAAAAAGAGAACTTGGTCGTCTAGACTTCTTCATGCATGTGTTAAGAGGATTTAAGAGAGTCTTAATGGTTATTTTGGAAATTGGGTCCCATTAAGACATGCAAACTGATAAAGTCGCCAACTTTATCAGTTAGGAGCTTGTAATGAAGCTTCCCTGAGGTTTGGATGCTTTGGGCTGAAGTGATTAAGTCGAAAATGGAGTTTCTAGACCTGAGCATTACGCCTCGCGTAAGTCTTAGCACGCCCCGCGTACTGGTCTAGTTTCCCCGATCAGGCTTTGTACGTACGTTGAGCGTACCAAGGGAGGTACGCCCTGCGTAACCTCGCTATGGGCTTTTTGGGCTAAATCTCATATTGGGTCTTAAGTGTTGGACCTGGATTTTGGGCTTGCTGTATTGGAGATTTTGGATTAGAGGAATATATACATATATATATATATATATATATATATATATATATTCCTCTAATCCAAAATCTCCAATACAGCAAGCCCAAAATCTATATATATATATATATATATATATATATATATATATATATATATATATATATATATATATATATATTTCTTGGGCCCTTGTGTTGGGCTTTCCATTTGGACTTAAGGTTAAGGACTGGTGTAACATACACGTTCAGTTATCATGTTTTGTAATTTAAAAGTGAATAATATTAAGAAATATTATGTGATTTTGAGCGTTGAGTTCTAACAGATAGTTTTTACTAGAATTGAAGTAAAACTATGTTTAGAATCATTCAGAAAGTATTGGAAGTCTTATGAGATTTCAATCAAATGTCAGCTATTGAAATTAACGAAAATATAAAGTTGAAAATAAGTAAAGTTATATTATTGAAAGTTGTAAATAATCTCGTTAGAAACATTTAGGCGAAAACCTCATCGAAATCCGAGTTATAACATAGAGGTCATGACTATTTGAAGTTTCGCGACAGAACTGGCACGACGTCGTATGACGTAAAAAGTGAGTTTTTGATAAACTACTTTTTAGCCTTTATGATCTAAATGAAAGTCGTAGTATTCATTAAACCGAGAATTTTCATAAAAAGAACGTCCAAATCTGACTTCGTATGAGGAAGTTATGATTTTTCTAAGTTTCGGTGTAGCAGTATACAACTAAAAACTCGAAATAAAGATCGAGTGATTTTTAGCCAACACAACCTAAACGAGAATCGAAGATCTCATTAATAGTAGTACAAAGGTAAAAAGACAGACGAAATCGGATGTCAGATGAAGAAGTTATGAATTTTTAACGGACTTTTCCTGTCCCGACCCGTTAAAAATATAACTTTAAAAATAAAGTCAAAATTAGCCGACGGAGTCTAAACTAAAGTTGTAGAGTATCATCCCACCTACGTGTGGATATAAAGAACGTCAAAAATGGAGCTCGTATGCAAACGATATGGATTTTAGAAGTTTGATAAATAAAAGTACGCCCAACGTACTCGTGTAAGAGATTCGGAGTCCGTCACCCTCCCTACTCCTTCTCATGAGTGCCACGTGTCGTAGGCTTAACACGTCCGAGCTGATCTACTTCGTACGCCCAGCGTACGAAGTTACGCCCAGCGAAGAGATGCGCGAGGCAGTACGCCCCGCGTACCAAGGAATTACGCCCAGCGTAATCAGGTGCTTCGGTCCCCTATAAATAGGATGTGAGGCTGCCCGTATTTTGGTTGCCATTTTTCAATCTCTTTCACTCTAAAACCTCTCTCTAGCCTACTTTTAACCCCCGAATTCCTAGTATCATCCCCGACACCCGAAGCAGGTTCCGAAGCCCCAAAGTTCCCGAGAAAATCATCTTACTAGTCGAAACTATTCTCGAGTAAGATCCGGTGTTCAACTAAAATCCCCGGTTTCGTCACAAAAATTCATTTTTAGAGTCGAAGTACTGCCCAAATTATCATTTATTCCTTCGTTTATTTCACAGTGAGTTCAATATAGGGACAATTGTATGTTATGTGTTATATATTCAATGTGTTTTCCCGTGTTATTATGATAATGAGTTATACCTTAGACCACGAAGTGTATGACATAAGCATCACTTGGGTACAAGTATGTATCCTTTGGCCATGAAGTGTATGTCATAAGCATCACTTTGGCATTGGCAAAATGCTAAGATAGGGCTGAAAGCCTGTGTATTCTAGCAAAATGATATTCTGAAATTGTATTTTCTGCGCCACTTGGGCTGAAGTCTTATTGATGTATATCAAGTATTGAAATTGTCGTTTCTCATTGATTGTAAATCTTTGAATCAGATCATTTGTTGATATGGAAAGCCTGTCATATGATACACAAATACCTTTGTTGTTCTTTGTCCCTCTTTTCTTCTGTCATATTGATATGTATATGACATAATGTTATATTGTAACTGTTATTGAACTCACTAAGCGTCACCCGCTTATCCCTCTCAATGTTTAAACTATTGCAGGTGATAAGCATCCAGTATAGTTTTGTACTGGTAGAAGATGTAGAATAGATAATATTATAGCTTTTGTATTTAGTGTATAAATTCTTGGGAAATTATGTATTATATAAAACTTTGTAAAAATCTTAATAGTCGGTTTGTATCCAATCTTTTGTAATAAGACCATATATGTAAAATATGTTTATGAATATGCATGTAACATATTTTTGGAGTAATAATATTGTAAAGTTTAGAAAGGGGCTCTTTCAATTGGGCCTTGGGAGGGCCCATTTAGTATTGGGCCTTGGTGGGCCCAATGGGCTTGGGTTATTTATGGGTCGGTTAGTGGACTATCTTTAGACCTAATGAGTGAGGGTTTGGTCTTAGATCCTAATTGGGTTAATTGTGGTTTTGGCTCAGTGTTAGAGGCCGGTGTGCAGCAGCAGCATTTATAGGAGTTGTTCATCATTCAAGGTGAGTCTTCTCACTATACTTACCTGAGTGGTAATCATTATGTGACCGGAGGGTCTTATGTGCTTATACCGAGTTATGTG